CCACCCGAGAGAGGAGTTCAGGACTGGTTGGAAACCGGCGGCGCACGCCATACCTTTGGGGGGTCCCTTATCTTCCGCGTCTACTTGGGACCATCCGGCACTGGCAAGACCTGTCCACGAACCTTTTGCTCTCTCTCTCTTTCGCCAGGATTCTGCATCCTATTATCGATCAATAGCTACGTACACTCTTGCATAATCTTCGTGTTCCTCTATCCAGCCTCCTCTTTCATTCCCTCCAACGTTCCCTCGAGAATTTCATTTTTCCTTCGGGAAGGAACATTGAAACGAAACAAATTAACGCGATGAAATATTAAATTTGACTGGTATTCGAGAATTTATTTCGAATCCATCGAACAAGAATCGATCTATCGTGGAAGAACGTTTTCTTTAAAATAGGATGCGATCGATGGAGGAACGATAACAGGTCTCGAATAAAGTAACGTGCTCTGTCCTTTCAGCAAATGGAATAACGATTAGTCGCAGCATTATTTTTTCACGTGAACCAGTAGTTTCTATCGAACTCGTTGTAAATAATTGGCCTCGTTAACCACGCGATCAATTATATTGCCATGTTCTCTGCTTTATTACCGCGGACTTCGCCATTCCGATTTTCCTTTCGCGGATATCTTCGCCGGGAGAACCCAGGGGGGCGATCGCTGATAAAAATGAAAACTGCTCCTCGAACAACCGCATCGAAACGAAGGATGCTCGAAAAGCGAGGAACAGGCAGAAAATCAAGAGGCGAACGTTTATTGCCGAAAGCGAAAGAAGACACAAAAGCGTGGAGAAAATCGAAAGGAGGGCAACAAACGGAACGGAGATCGAAAACGAGACAAGGGAAGGAGAGCGCGTTTAAGAGAAATAAGGAAGGGTGAATTAGGGAGAAAGAGATGGATTCTCATTGTGAAGAAAGCCGTATGCGTACGTAGAAGACGTGAGATCCGTTGGACCCGCATGCGGACCTTATTGTGTCCCAAAAGAGCGTATACGGTAGGTACCTTAATGTCGGCACGGATGAAAGCGTGGGCCCTCCTTTGTCTTTCGTTCGTGAAGCTGCCACAGCAAGTAGCGTGCTCTGCGGGTAGCCCTGCACCATTCCTCAACTACCGTTCTCCCTTTCTTTCTTTCTCTTTAGCCTCTCTTCAGCTTCTGCCAGAGCAAACGCTGCTTCCTTTCGCGAATCGTATGAAAACCTGGCTAACGTTAGACGTGGATTTTGAAAATTGACTATCGTTTGATTAGAAATTTGGAGAACGCCCGATCGGGTTTGATAACGCTTGGTCTGGTAATTGGAAGCTAAGTTTTGTTATAGAATTTAGCAATTAACTGATAGCTAATTACCGAAAAATCGAGCTAATGTTAGATCGAAACAGGGAGATTGAAAATTATTTGGAGAACACTCGATTGCGTTTGGTAACCCTTCCACTAGTAATTGGAAGCTAATTTCTGTTATAGAATTTAGCAATTAGCTGATAGTTAATTATCGAAATACCGAGCTAACGTTAGATCGAAACATTGGAGATTGAAAATTGACTATCGTTAGATTAGAAATTTGGAGAACACTCGACCTGGTAACCCTTCCACTAGTTATTGAAAGCTAATTGCTGTTATAGAATTTAGGAATTAGTCGATTTTAATAAAGTGTACCTAGGTATGTAAATATTTCTGATTGGAATACAACTTGTTTGAAAGGGTGAAATGAACGATCAAACGACTGTAAAGAGCAACGAAAGAGCGATTAGTGTTTCTGGGAATGGTGCTCGACGATGGTACCACGGTTGGTACCTCGGTCGCACAAAAGAGCCGGGACCTAGGTCGTGTTATTAATGTCAGACCGTCACAGAAGAGCACGTAGAGTTGCATATTTCGCCAAGTAGTTGCATGCTGAGGCGCAAAGACGATTCACGTCGACGACGGGGTCGGGACACAATATATAATTCCACGTTCGCCGATAATTATTATGACTTGCCAACTTTTCCTGTTCTCACAATGGGACCTCCTTCTTCGACCATTGCCTATTCCGAGCTTCGTTTTCGTTCGTCGAGACGAAGCTTCCTTCTCGTCGACGACGACAGTGCTCTTTCGTCGAGCATAATAAAGTGACATTAGCCGACATGCGATTCCGCGATAAACTTTCGAAATTTATATTCCTTCGGAACCCCACCCTCGTGACGTATCACCTGGATTTCGTTTGGTGGATTCTTCGGTAATTGTGCGCGGTTTTCAGAGATCGTTGATTAATCGTCTATGAACTCGAAGCGATCGTAAATCATTGAGGGGAAAAAAAGTAGCATAGTTTGAAGGATCACGAGAACTTCCGTCTTCCGGGTCTACCACGTGTCCTCCCGCAACTTCTATATAGAACACGAGTAATTAACATTCTACATTCGTACTCATAATTCAAAATTCAAAATTTTGCAAACTCGACCGAACTACGTGTCCGGCGATCGAAATTTCGTCTTAATTTTAGAAATCTTCCGTTGTACTATTTTATAATCGCCGAGTTTCTAGACCAAGATCGTGCTTAATTGCAATCAACATTTGTCCTCGAACGAGGAAACATTTCCATCGAATAATAATGCGCTCGTTTCAAGGTACTTTATAACGAATTACGAGGAAAAAGATTGCAAGGTTTGCGAAACCGAGTCGTGTTCTAATTTAGACCAAGTCGTCTTAGACCTGGAAGTTGAATTACGTTTCTAATTTCTCCACGAATCACGTTTCGATTCTTCGAAAGACAGATATGCAGTCCACGGTTCGGTTGAAAAGGGGTGCAAGAACAAGGACGATGAATTTTAGGAGGGTGTTTTCACGTGGATGGTCAACGTGCTGAGAAGGTTATCGATTAAGCTTAAAGGAACTCAAGATTTTCAGTTGATTCTCGAGAACCTGAATTTATTTCTGCTCTTCAGGTGCACGAATTCGGAACTTTCGGTGGCTAGCAGTACCACTCGAGCTGAGCGTGACAACGACAGCTTTCGAAAGTATCAAGGGAATTATAACTAAAGAAAAGAATAATGTCGTGCGATACACACTCATGACGATAATTGAGCCACCGTATACTCTTTCGTTCGTCTAATTATTATCGATGAGCCTTGGATTCAAAGATAAATTTTTTAGTACACGATAGAACGAAACGGTTAATTATCCTGTACGACTTAATAGTAATTGCTCTAGGTTCATCAAAATTTAATTAGTCCCTTTAAAAACAAAGTTTTACGACGACGTTTGAACCATCCTTATTAATTTGAAATCTATAATTAAATTTTTCATACCCTTCAATTTGATGGCTGGCAAATAACTATTAATTCAAATATCTTTGAATTTTTAATCCATCTACAATGTTAACAGCTCACCTGCGTTTCGCGAGAATACAAGTGTGAAAACGTGACGGAAAATGAACATGGAAGGGAAACTGTTAGCTGGAATGATACGGTAGTACCAGAAAGGTAGCAATTAATCCCAGGATTTCCTTCCACGACGAGGGGAGACACGTTCGATTCCACGAGTGAAAAGGGGTTTCACGTACTCGATAATTCCAGGTTCGCGAGAACGATGTCACGAGAGAAGGAAGAAGAGGCGGACGAGGAAACCGGGGAGGATCCCTCCGTGATTCCGGAAGCGAAACGATGCGATAGTTAGCGTAAAGCAGACCAGGATTCATCGCGATATATTTATAGCCGAATATTAAAATCGTATCTTTCGATACGCAACCCCCTGAAGAATCTCTGAATCACCACCCCCGAAAAATATCTGACGACGAAAAACGAATCATCGCTTATCGTTTCAAAAAATCCTTACACCCCCCAAAAATAAGAAAACAAGGACACTGATGTGTCTAGCTGCAATATTTTCTCCGGTCTAAAAAGGCAGCAGACGATAAAGCAACGAAGAACACGATTATGCAAATGCGATATAATAACGCGAGTTAGGGGTCGCGAAATTACGCGACGTTCATCGAAAACAGGTATCGTCCTTTCGCGAACTGGTACCGAGCAATCGTGAGCCCCATTCTCGATTCTAATTGCGCGAATCGCGAACAATTAGCGGCATGCACACGGTTGAATAATTTAAATTAATACGACAGTCGGGAATGCCAGTCAGCCGGTTTTACCGTGTTCTCTTATGGAACTTCTTTAATGTCCTCTCTCTTGATTACCGAAAGTCCTTGATTACACATTTCATACTTGGCGAAACTGCTCCCTTGTCCCATGAAATTATCATTTTGCTACATACTTATATGCAAATAACATTGCAGCTAGTCAATATCATAAAAACTGTATGTGGGTCATGATAGTTCCTTATAAGTTTTACGAACCGTGTACGGATCAAAAGAGAGGACTTAAGAGAACTTCCATTAATTAATTTCGAATTTCTTATTTTATAATTGGTAACAGATAAAAGCTACTGAATTTGTTTGTGCTTATAATTTAGATAGAAAACATAGGTACCTTATTTTTTGTGAACATCCTGGTGATGCTTCAAGGAATTGTTTGAAAGTCCTTTAAAACTTCTGACGAGCGAACGTCGACCAAGTTGAAGGAACTTTGATAAGGCGGAGACGGTGAAACTCGACGAGACGGCTTGTTAAAATTTGGAAAATTCACACGACAGCCGAAAATTTTGCAAAGACGCGAGTTGGGTTATCGACCTACCGTCACGAAGGCTGATACACCACTAAATAGAAACGGCCGGCGAGATAAACAAGGACCGAGCACGATTTGTTTTGATCAACGGATTACGATAAGTCTCGAGCACGGAACGTGAGAATATCAAAATAAAGCGTTCTTACTCATGCTCGCGATTGCATACCAATAAATTTATAATTTAAATTTTATCATAGTACAAAATGTAACATTTTATAACAATTTTATGATAAATTTAGAATAATTTTTTAATTTAGAATAAAGTTATCATGCAAAATTAATAAAATGATGTTATTTTACCAAATTGTGTAATAAAATAATTTTGTGATAAATTATATAAAAATATTGACTCACCAATATGATGATCATGCCATGCTAAAACACTGCAGAGAAGAGCCAAAGTTTTTCCAGTCCCTGTTGGACTCTCCAGAAGGCAGTTTTCACTTTTTGTGCATCCTTGTATGACCTGTGAACATAATTGATGTAGCATGTTAATAAAAAATGATTCAAACACAAAAACCATTAGAAGTGTTTCTTTTACCTTATTCATCACAGCCATTTGACATGAGTATGGTTTTACAGGAAACTTCACTTTAATCCCTGATATTATATTATCATATTGCATTATTACTTCAGGTGAAATATCTTCTTTACTTTCACTTTTCTCCTCCAATTGCTTTCTATGATAAGTCTTGCACTTTTTGTTCATTTGCTGATGATGAAAGTGTTCTGATTTTGGCATAAACTCATCGGAAGAATCAGAATCTAAGCATATCACTTCATCTATTTCTGGTTTTGGGTTTTTGTCAGACCAGGAAAACATTCTAGTGTTTGGCTTTGAATGTTTAAACACTGACTCTTTTTTGTCTTCTTCTGACTCTGAGGTATCAGTAGATTTATCAAATCTGTGTCGTATTGCCTCGTTAGAGTTTTGGTTACAACACGATGCAACTGTAGAGTCTGTATTGCTTACAGATACATTAAGACTCTGTGTAGTATCTTCCTCTTCTGATATATCCCCCCAGGATGATTTCTTTGACTTCTTTACTTTCTTTCTATTTTGTTTACTCATTCTGCAAGACATATGTATGCAGCGAATCAGAATTATTTTACAGTGAACTAATGTGTTAAATACCAAATTTCAAGCAAAAAATACGTAATTGTAAAGTCATCTACATTTTTGAACTGAATCTTTGAAATGTCAAACAAACTGAATACGAAAATATTGCTTATCTAAAAAGAAACAGCGAATATAACCTTAAAACGTTCTTTACTATCGCACGTGTTGTTACACACCTTGATTCGTTCAACCACTCGTCGACTTGAAATTTAATCACAGTGTAAATGGTAAATACAATCACTGAACAAATTACCCAGATTACAAGCATCGATCAATATTAATTACAAGGATACAAGACTTAAAAGATTAGCATACGACAAGTGCATTTCCCGCTTTTTCTCCTATACTATACTGACACGCAATTCGATATACAATCACTTCTAAACTATGATATAACATATTTTTAAGCTACATTCTTTTAAAAACCCTTTATACTCTAGTATACACTCAAATTGTCTGTGTAATACGAATAAAATTCACAAAAAAATTAAAAAAAGAACGAGCAGCAAACCTCATGTAACAACTTGATAGAATGTCAACTTTTTGAACAGTCACGTGACTTTAGCGGCGCATGCGCGCATTTGAAAACTTCCCGCGCTATAAATTTAAATACCATTTGAATACTATTCTCTAATTTTTCTAATCTACAGATGGTAGAACTTGAAAATTATGTCTCGTATTTCCCCAAAAATGAAATTGTAACGAAAACAATTTCTGAATCATCATTCGCCGCGTTTTCTCGCGTGTATCTCGCTCTTTAAGAATGATTAATTATACGATATAGTATTCCACGCAGATCCAAGCCAGGAAACATAATTTCTGAAACGAACAGGATTAGACGGTTGAGTCCCACAGTTTCAATTCCGATGTTGTTCGGTGACCTTCGTATAGAAGATTCGTCTGCGACCGAGGGGAGGAATATGATTTCCACGGGTGATTTATGCTTCTCGGTCGGTCCAACGTATCAAACTTCTGATTTACGTGGCTGTTGTGGCGGATTTCGAAAGCGGCCCTCATCAAAGGGGGGCCACGGAATTTAAAAGCCATACGGCTCGCGTGCGACTTGAATAAGGAATTTCACTCGACCTACGGAGTAGCATCTCGCGCTGACATGAATCCTTATCAAATTATCCGAAATTCCCACGGTACGGAGGATACAGTACAATTTCGCGCGTGTATGCGTTTGTCTTTCCATATTGCCAACAGCGTAGCACGTTACGAGGAGCCCGTCACGTATGTGCAATGAAATTACTCAGACCGTCGAGCATTTTCAGCTCACGTACCTGTACCGAACGATCCTCGACCAGCAGTTCCTGCCTTTTCACACGGTTATGATGGATATCTTAATGATAACACGCTGCGAGACAGGAATACTCCTTCGAACGATCCTGGCTCGATTCATTTTTACAAAGAACGAAAAAAGCTGGAGGAAATCAGCTCGAAATTAAAATTTAAAAAATGACGTATTATTCAAGGGAAACTCTAAGATCTACGATGCAACAATATCTTTAAGATATAAAAGTATGTCTTTAGCATTCGGTAGTCTCGCTTTTACGATCGCGAAACGTGATTTACTTCCATGCTTTTCCCGATGTCTCGTCGTTTTACACCCGACAAGGAATCACGTTCCGAGTAAGTTCAGCCAGTGGACTGTAAGTTATGCACAGCCTGTGTGATATCCATAAAATACGTCCAAGGGTTCGAGGAAGTTGTTACTACGAAATGTGGCAAATTGCGTGTAACACCCTCGTGAAAAGTCACAAAGCATCCGACCGGTTTCACGCGCCGTCGATCGCCCGTAATTCTCGAGGCGGACTTAACCCTTTCCCGTTTTTCGAGCAAAAAATCTAGCCATCGAAAGGCGGGCGATAAACAATGAAAGGAACAAAAGCGTAAGTTCGATGGCACCCAAGGAGCGCCTCGAATCTCGTTAGTTTTTCAACAGCCCTCCCTCGACGATTCGTGAAATGGTAAATAACCAAATCGGTGCAATAACAACGTCGGCACTTCCATAAATTAACGCCGACCACCGCGTTTTCACGGTGTTCGATTAATCGGTCGAAACTCGAGGGGTGTCGCGCGATCCCAACGAACGATACGGGTCAATTTGCCCTCTCCTTCGGTCGCGTTCGGAAAAGGCCTCGATCGAAAATATTTCTAAACGGTACGGGGAAAGTAACGGTGACGAAATTACCGGGGGCACGCAAAAGGGGGAGAAAGAAATGAGGAAAGGACAGGAGAGATCCCCTTTTTCGATCTTTCTGCGGTATCCCGTGGTCACCCTGCGCGAATCCGGGGAATCAAGCTTTCTCGTGGTCACGAAGCCGGCCAGAGAGAGAGAAATATGAAATATAAATAAAACATATTCTTACCGGCGGCAAGTGCAATAAAAATGCGGGGAGATCAAGAGGGATGCCGGTGGAATACGTAATGGGACCTCGGTTCTCCCTGTCTCTCCCTCTTCCACCACCTTCCCCTTTGCTCTCTATCTCGTATCTCTTTTACCGTTTCTCCTCTACGCCGTTCACCCCTCCAATTTCGCGTTTATTTGTCCCGGTGAACGTTGGAACGAACATCGAAATGCGTAACAATTTCTGGACGTAACAATTCCAACAGTTTATGAAATTTTGCATCCTCCACGTGATCATTCGTGTCACCCTTGACGGTCAGTTTTATTCAAGAGAAAAGAGAGATCAGGCAATAGCGGTCACCTTGCAGTGTCTCGAAACATCGAAGTCCCTCCACCATCACCGAAAACTCTGTCGACTTGTTTTTTTCCAGGCTGATCCGACGTGAGCGACATGACTTTCCATCATAATGCGCATAATTCCTCATTATTCCAACGTGGAATATTTCTCGAACGACGAGGTCTCGGTGGGGAAGACGAGAGAGAAAGAAATAATGGCAAGGAGGAGGAGTTAGTTACGGAGAGACAGAGGACGAAGAAATAATTCCATAAATGGCGTAACGTACGAAACGAGCAACATATTCCGGGCCGGCGAATCTTCGTCAGCGAAGGGAAAAGCACGCGGCAAACAAGCCAATAAACCGAACAAACGGTCGTCCGGACTTAATTAAGGAATGGCGACTGCATCCACGCCAACGGGTGCCTTCATTTCGTCCGGCAGCTTTATCGTCGGTGCTTATCTATCGGCCGTGAGATAAGATAAAAGGGTCAGAGTTCGAGGTGGGGGAGGATAGGCGAGATAGCCACCCCCTGTTCGTGTAAGAACGGCGAAAAAGTTTCGGGGGTGTGGGAACGGAGAGGATACCATATGCGTTCTTCCTCGTCCGGCTGCCACGGTCCGGCTCCTTTTCTTTATTTCCTCTCCTTCTCCTCCTGCGAGACTTTTCTTTCCACCACGTTGTTTCCACGACGCAGAGACGAGCGAGCAGGGTGACCGGAGAGGGAGGGTCGGAATCGAGTACGTCGTGTCCAGGAGCACGGCTGAAAGTAAAATAAAAGAATCATGCTGGCTGGGGACCGAGGAAACTGTCCGTGTGTACTCGTGCCAGCTCCTACGGGATGCATATGTTTTGTCCCGATTTCATGCTTTTCCTTAAAGTCGAGCAATCGGATGTTCCGATACCGTCTGGAACACCGTTCGATTGTTTTATCCACCCTATCTCCTTTACCCCCTGGAACAACTAATATTTCGATAAATTGTTGGGAGAAATTCGAAGGATTAAAATCTGAATATTAAATTTTTCTATTTAATTTGGTTTTATAAGACGGACGATGTTAATGAAATATCAAGAAATAGATCGACGAAATGTAAAGTCTTTGTTGAAGCGAAACGATCGAATTATCACAGCTTATTGTTACTTGAGAAACAATGGAGGAAGTTGAGCGAGGTTGAGAGTGTTACGGAAGACGAAGGTAAATTCGAAGGAACACGAAGGACAATAACTTTTCGACGGGGGTTGCGGAGGGACATCGATCAGATGCGATCACAGTGGAATTAGCCGTCCCTTGCAGGACTCCGGGGCTCCTTCCACCCTTCGATCCGGAACCAAGCTTGTCCGTGTTTCTTTGACCTGGACAAAAGGTTTTCTCGATAAACGATTCTATTAGTGTACACCGGACAACGTAAAAATGCGTTACGGAATTCTGGTTGACGTAAGCACCGAGGATTAATTACTTCCGCGTTATTTTCTGCGAAGTTTCATCGGTCCCGTGAGCCTTTTCTCGTGCATGAACTCATTAACACCCAGTTACCTTGTATCGCGATCGACCTCTAGAGTTTCACGATTACATCGCGTCGTACTTTCAGTGGGATATTTTGCAGACGTTTCTGAAAACACGATCGGGGTAGGAGCCCTTAAAAATCGTCGAAACAAGGGTAAGAATAAAGAATGCCACGAAACGACACGAAGATCGAGGTTACCCCATCAAATATCATAAACGTGCCATCGCGTTCGCTGTTTTTCATGCGTCTGTCACAAAAGTGATAACAGAAGGAAGGGGGTGCGCGAGGGGTGCTTCTCGAGTCCATGAAATATGAATAGATTTGGCCTGACGCCACAAAAGAAAGCGTCACGGCAAATTAATCGGTCGACGAGAAGCACGCGAGACGTGTGATTTAATAAAAAGCTTCCCTCTTCCTTCGGTTGGCGAAAAACGGGGTGGAAATACGCGGCGACCCCCCTCGGCGTAATAAGTTTAGTTTCCACGACGAAACGGTCATAAAGCAGGCCGTGTATTCACAGCGTGGTGCCTTGTTCGGATTTCGCGGGGACGTTTAAGGGACGTTTTTCCTTTTTACGATTATTGCCAACCAAGAAACATTGCTCGTCACATAAAATTAGAAAATTTCGATGTTTTCGTCGAATTACATTTTCTTTTTAATTTCCTACAATTCTTACTATATTTTCTTTCTCTCACGTCAAAGGGTTGAACATGAAAATAATGACATCCGATTGCAATTGTATGTTGTTATTAGGTTGTTTGAT